AGAGAGAGAGAGAGAGAGAGAGAGAGAGAGAGAGAGAGAGCAGGAACTGGAATGGGGAAGTGAGGATGAGGAGCGATTGTTAGCGGTAGAGGAGGAGGGAGAAAAGCAGGAGGAGGAGGAGGATTAGTTTGTTTTTGACATTGTCCGTGGAACAATTTTCGAAATGTTATTACCCTGAAAGCTGAAGGGCTTGAGGAGGACAACTATCAGAGGAGTGGGTAGGTTGAACGATCAGAGAATGTGGGGAGTAATGGATTCCTCTCTTGAGTCAGTGCTTGTCGTCTTTTTTTATTTTTTATGAAATTTTGTCGGTCTTATATTTGTATTTTTATATATTACGTTTTTTCATTTTTTTCAGGGTCAGTGCTTGTGGTTATTGGGTAGTGTGGTTGATTGACTGACAGGAGGAAAGGAGAGTGACTCTGATTGAGTAATGGACCTTTTTGTTTTTGACGTATTTTTTGGTAATCGACCTTTTCTTGTGTGCGGCTGGTCAATAATAACTGTGGGCATTCTCTCATCTTTACTTTTCTGAGCGTATCTGGCTTTCCTTGCGACCAGATTCAGTCAAATCGTTCGTAGTCTGATTAGTCTGATTATGCCCGTAATGAACTCGGCGATGCACCGGCAGGTTGACTTTGCGGTCTATTGATCGCGCGCTCGCTTGCGCGGGTGATGAGTGGTTTTCCCTTCCCGCGTTCTCCCCGCGTTCTCCCGCGTTCTCCCCGCGTTCTCCCCGCGTTTCCCCGGCCTTCTCCCAGCTCTCTGCACTGCGCGCCGTTGTTTTCTCCGCCTTTTGCGCGGGTGATGAGTGGTTTTTCCTTTCCGCGTTCTCCCCGGGTTTCCCCGGCCTTCTCCCAGCTCTCTGCACTGCGCGCCGTCGTTTTCTCCGCCTTTTCCCCCGGCTTCTTGCCGCCCTCCGCAATACGCGCCGCCTTTTAGCCCGCCATATTCCCGCGCTCTGCACTGCGCGCCGCCTTCTTCCTGCCCTCCGCACTGCGCGCCGCCTTCGTCCCGCCTCTGCACTGCGCGCCGCGTTTTTCCCACCTCCTCACGCTCTCTGCACTGCGCGCCGCCTTCTTCCCGCCTCCACACTGCGCGCTGCGTTTCTCCCCGCCTTCTTCGTGCGCTCTGCATTGTGCGCCGCCCTGAGCCTTTTTCGCCGCATTCTTCCCCCCCTGTGCACTGCGCGTGCCTTTTTCCCCGCTTTCTTCCTGCTCTCTGCACTGTGCGACGCCTTTTCCCCCTAATTGATTACCATCAACAGTAATTTATCCCCCCTTTCCGGCGCATGACAATCACTACCGATCTTCGACCGGCCAACCCTGCGTGCGTGTCATTAAGAAGCAATAGAAATGGCGGGAAGATGAGGAGAGGGCGAGGAAATGGCGGGAAGATGAGGAGAGAGCGCGAGGAAATGGCGGGAAGATGAGGAGAGAGGGCGAGGAAATGGCGGGAAGATGAGGAGAGAGGGAGAGGAAATGGCGGGAAGATGAGGAGAGAGGGAGAGGAAACGGCGGGAAGATGAGGAGAGAGGGCGAGGAAAAGGCGGGAAGGCAGCGACGCTCTGCGAAGAAGGGGAAAGGTAGGGGGTTGCGCGGCGGACGGTGGTTGTGAGTCAGGGAAGGGAGGAGCAGGTGGGGGGTAATCGAGGCGTTATGGACGCGAAATGGGTTTAAGGAACGGAGAAAAAAAGAAAGAGATGAGGTGTGGGAAGAAGGGGGGCGAAGGGGGGCGGGGGGGGTTGTGCGGGGAGGGAGGAAGAAAGAAAGGGAAAACGTCAAAAAGGGAAAGATCTTGGGCTAGCGATGTAAGGGCATGCTCACACTAGGACTTCCTTTTTACTATTCCCGACCGTTGGACTAGATACTTCTGGTTGCAGCCGTAAATGCGGTCAGATCTAGGCTACCAGAGTGGCCCGGGGTCACTTGCCCTGCCGGGCCAAAAAAATAAAAATAAAAGAATTATTTTTAGTTTTTAATTTTTATTTTTATTTTGGTCAAGAATTTCGATGTGACCCTGAGGCAAAAGTTGTTCAGTTTATTTTTCTGCATAACATTGTTTTTTTTTCGGATTTTTTGGATTTTTTTTATTTATTTTTTTTGCTGGGACCTCCTTGCACGGGCTGGCCACCCGGGACCCGGGCGGCCCGGCTGGTAGCCTAGGGTCAGATACATTTAACATGGTGCTAGTGTGAGTACGGCTTCCAAGAGGAGGGGGAGAGAGAGAGAGAGAGAGAGAGTAGAAACAAGTAGCGATGCAATGGAGGAAAGGGGTACGTTGCCCTTTTGGAACGTTGGACTGGACTGGAAAATCAGGTCGTAATCAGATTGTCAATCAATAAATTAATTACGGCTGATGGGTTGGTTGGTAGGTAGGGAGCGATATTCGGTGAATCTATCTGTTTATCAAATCATCATTCGATTCATTCATTGATTCATCCATCCATCTCTATTCATCCATCTATCTCTATTCATCCATCTATCTATTCATCCATCTATTGGTCGATGGTTTAATTAAATGTATCTGTTTTTATTAATTGCGCAGTATATATAACCTAATACGTATGTTACTGGGGTAAGAAACCGAATTAGTCCTCGACCTCCTATCTTTCGCCTTTTTTTTTTTTTTTTTTTTTTTTTCTTTTTTTTTTTTTTTTTTTTTTTTTTTTTTGTTGAACCACTCCTACACGGCCCCAGCCTGGCAGTCCGAATTTTTTTTGTCGCCACAAGAAAAAAACGAGCGAGTCCCAAACGTTTAACGCTGGGCCCGCCGTTGATAAATTCGATCGGCGGTCGCGTTTTTGTTTTTTTGTTTTTTTGGACCATTTCTCGATTGGTGCGTGTCATCCTTGAAAGCGCAGGGGCCATCCATGCTAATCTTCTTTCTCTGTATCGTTCCAATTTTCGCGGATGTCTCCAAGGACGCCGTCGTGTTTTCGTTTCGCGGACATGTCCAGAATTTCTGGTGACAGGCCAGCGGCCCAGGTGCCCATGTCTTCGGTCCTGTTCATTCATCTTACCCTCTTGCCCAGATACTTCCTTTCTGTCCATCAATCTTCCTCACCTTCCCAGGTTCTCCATTCTTGTTTATCATCCATTTAAAAAAAAAAAAACTATTTTTTATTATTATTCATCGTCCATATTTGTGACACAGTGGTCCAGAATGAAAAAATGATAAACAAGAAAAGGAAGAAAAAAAGCAAAAAATTGCAAAAATTGAAATGGAGAAAAGAAAAAAAAAGAGGAAAAAATGAAGAAATATGGAAAGGCGGCTAACAGGGAGCGCTCGCGTCCTGTTCAAGTACCGTCTTCCCCCGAACACTAGGGACCCTCATTATGTCTGTATCGGACCGGAAAGATAGCTTGTGTTCATTTAGTATTATCAGGGTGCTCGTTGAATGTTCATCGGAAGACGGTCGTGGTTCTCCTTTCCTGTCCATCGATTTTTTTTTTTTTTTTTTTTTTTGGAGGGGGGCGACATCCGTTGAAAGGATTGGAACGAGAGAGAGAAAGAGAAGATTAACATGGCGCCTGCGCTTTCAAGGATGCCACGCATAAATCGAGAAATGGTATTAAAAAAAAAGGAAGAGGAAATAAAACGATCATCGTGTCCTTCGGGACATCCGTTAAAATTGGAACGATACAGAGAAAGAGAAGATTAGCATGGCCTCTGAGCAAGGATGACACGCATAAATCGAGAAATGGTCCCAATTGTTTAAAAAAAAAAACAAAAAAAAAAAACGATCATCGTGATCCTCTACGGTTAGAAATAAATAGTGAAAAAAAAGAAAATAAGAAATCCGGCTAGGTGGGACCTACTACCGTCTTTCCCCGAATAGAACGCACGCACGTGCATTATAGCAGAGCTGTGTCTGGGGCAACTTTCAGTCTGGATACCGTGTTCTTTTTTTACAATGACTGTTGCTGCGTTCTATTTGAGAGGGGAAGAGGGTAAACAGCTACTCGATGCGTGATTTTTTTTATTTTTTTTTTCCCTTCCCTAATGTAGGTGCGGCCCAAAAAAAAAAAAAAAAAAAAAA